CAGGTGTGAGAAATTGTGGTGTCAATCAACCGTGAGTAAAAGCAATTATTTACTTGTCTTTCATTTCACTAATTGCGAGCTCAATCACTTCTCCCCATAAATAACGGCAGGAAACAAGGGGGAGCTTTGAAGAAGGCTGTGACTGCACGTCAGAGGTGTGGGGTGCTGGGGGACCGTCCTGGAAGAAACACACTTCAAGGCGACTGGATGCTCACACGCTTCCCTTTCGCCACAGGCTCTCCCCATAAGCCATCTCCATGCTTTCAAGTCCAGGAGGAAAATCCCAAATCCGACGTGGGCTGATCTCCCATCTGTGGCTTTGGAAGCAGACAGGCCTGGGCCAGCCCCACGGCCCGCCCCACCCCCACCCCGCTCCCCCCACTCCCGTGCACATTCTTCAGACGCCGTCCTCAGCACGGGCACCCGCCGGTGGAAGGCCTGACACACTGCCTCCCCGACTGTCCATGGGTTTGTCTGCGTGCTTAAGATCTCCTCACTTCCAAATTGCTCCTTGGATGATTCGCATTTGGACTCCGGTTTGGGCTGGAGGGAGGGCTGGAGGAGGGTGGGAGAGCGTGCGGAGGAGGGAGGGGGGCGGGCAGATGAACTTCTAATTTTCCAGGCCGATCAATCGTTAATCCTTCTCCTTAATTACTTTTTCTTTAACTTTGTGATGTGGAATTTAGTGCTGGCGAGAAGAAAGGAACTGAGGGCCGGGGAAATAAAGCAGGCTTTATCAATAGGTGATGGGCCCTGCAGGCAGCCTCAAAGCGCTTCTGAAAGGGCCCCTCGGGCCTGTGGAGAGAAGGTAATTTGATCGCCTTCATTTTCCGAGCTGGACAAGAAGGCTTTGGACAAGAATAGCGAGGAGCCGGATTCAAATGGAGCTTCAAGAAACATTTGTCTGAAAACTTGAAATCATCACATCTTTGCTCAACAGCGAGACCAACAGAGTCTTGGCCCACAAGTCCTGCCAGGAGGACAGGCCCGTCTGGACAGAAAAACAGGCTAGGGGGGGGGGGGGGCAACACTGGAGAGGGAGCCCTGCTGATGGCCAGCAAAGAAAGGAGTCGTAGTCCCAGCCCCGCTTCTGAGAAAGATGGATGTGGCTTTCTCGTCAGACGGGGGCAATAGGTAGCTGAACCCCTCACGCGGCTGCCTGTCACCCACAACCCCTATTTCGTGGGCAGGGGTGCTCTGCGGAAATGTTCGAGCTTTGGCATCAGCTCGACCCAATAAAGTCCAACTCCTTCCTCGCTGTGGGACCCTGGGGAAGTGTCTTTGTCCCTCGGAGCCGCTTTGAGAGAACAGGGACCCTCTGTCCTCCACTGAAGACAGCGAGTAAGGATGAAATGAGATACAGAGTAAGATGGCTAGGAGAGCACAACCTTCCATGTGCTTCGGCAGACAGACAGAAAGACCTAGACACAAGTCCTGGCCTGGCTACTGACTCCCTCTACCCGGCTGCTTCACTTCCTTCTCCGCCACGGCGGATGTGAGCCACCCCCCGGGGAACATGTTGTGAGGGTGAACTAAGCCCGGGGGTTGTCAAGGACCCCGCACCACGCCTGGTGCTTGGTCGGCCGACAGTCAACAGTGGTTAGCCTGCTCATCATCTTATTCCCAACTCACGGAAAATGTTTGGCCCTGGAAGAGGCCTCTCCCCGCCTCCCCGGCTGCTGCCGAGCCCACTCCAGTCCTTACGTTCAAATTTGATGTTCCGCAGGTTTTCTGGGAGGTCGTGGAGAGCCACTTTCAGCCACTCGTCCAGCTGCTTGGCAAACTTCCGGATCACCTGAGTTAAGCTAGAAAGAGAAACGGTGTCTTCTCAGCGCGTGTCAGAACCTCTGGTGGCCCAGTGGGGGTGCGCGTCGGGCTGCTAGTAGCAGAGTCAGTAGTTTGAACCCACTAGCCGCTCTGTGGGACGAAGAGGAGGCGCTCTACTCTCATAAACAGTTTACTGTCTCAGAAACCCACAGGGGCAGTTCTCCTGTGTCCTATTATAGGGCCGCTCTGCGTGGGAAACTCCTCCATGGCGGTGAGCTTAGTTTTTGTTTTTCTTTGGAAAAGGTGTGTGTGGTGTGTTTGTTGCCCAGTCCTCCCCACGGGAGGCCCTGGAAGGTTGTGTTTCCCCCAAGCCCTTCAGGGAGTGCCAGTACAATGTGTTCTGGTGCCAGAGCTGGTTGACCAGGTCGATGCCACCAGTGCCATCCAGGGAGAGCCCCACGGAGAAGCTTCGCTGCCTCCAGAACTTCTGAAACGAAATGAGATCCTTTGTGCTTTTGAGGAGCTTTGGATCAAGGGTGACGACAGTGGGCAATGGGCCCAAGTGAGACAGTTTACCATTGGCCCCTCTCCCTAGTGCAAACCCCAGTCTCAGATGGAATGGGAAAGCAACAACATCTTGCTAAGTTGGCAAAGAACCCTGTTGTGGGTCTTAAGACCACATGAGATCTGGAGAGTCGAGGCCCAGTCTGAAGTGGGAGGGGAGAGAGGACATGGGGGGATGGTGGAAGATGGAACTTGAGAGTTGGCAAAGACACTGAACACCCTTTCCCAGGCTCTCACCCCCAACCTCGTCTACTCATCGGTCCAGGGGCAGGTTCCTCCGTGAAGTGTTCCTTGGCGCTGCCAGCCACAGGACCCTCCTCTTTTCTGTGGACCACCCAACGTCATCCCTGCCTTCCACCCATCCCAAGCCACCATCATGACTCTGGGGGCGTTCAGTCTCCCACCAGCTAGCTCTCACCTGTCAGACCACAGTTACCAACCTTGCCCCATGGGGAGTCGTGCCACCTTTCTCTGATCACTCATTCTGCCCCCTTTCCAAACTCTCGCCAACCTCGGTGGCGCTCACACTGCCCACTTCTCAGGGAACACACGCTGCAAAGGAAAAGCATCGGCAACATGCTACCTCTCTCATGGCTCATCTGATAATCGAACACCGCGGGTAATGCTGCCTCTTTTACAAAGCCCAAACACGACCTCAGCCCCTCCTGCCTTCTCAGGAACCTGACGTTACTGACTCCCCTTTCCCCGGTGTATTCCATGTTTTCCTCTCCATTGGGCCATGCCTCTCATCGTTTAATGGGTTCAAGAATGGCTCACTTTAGAAAACAAAGCCACCCTCCACCCCCCCTATGCTGCCTTTCCCCAACCAATTCTCTTCTCCAGCTACGACTCTCCTTCCCTTCCACTTCTTAGCCAGCCTTCACCTTCTCCTGTTCACTCTTCGGTGCAAACAGTTCTCACCTGGCAGCAAACCTTTGGGGGCCTGATCTGGCTGGGCTTTGGGGGCACATTCAGTTCTCTTACCCACTTCCTCTTTTTCCCCTTGGCCATTTGCACCTTCTGGTTCTTCCGATCAGAGTAGTTCTGGTGGTGGGGTGACGCGTTGGGCTGGTAAACACAAGGGCTGCCGTTTGAAACTTTCTACTCCCATAGCGGGCTCTAGACTTGGCAACCCACACGCCCAATTCTGCCTTGTCCTCTAGGGTCAGTGTGAACCAGAAGCCACTCAATGGCAGTGGGTTTGTTTGTTTTTACGTGGCCCTGATATGCTTAAGTCCTGGGCCCTGCCATCTTACCCCCCCCCCACCCTTTATTCCTTCCCAGGGTAGTCAGTCAATGCCCCCAGTTCTGGTCGGCAGCTCTTCTCGCTACCCCCCACCCCACCCCCCTGCTTCACCCAGACACGGTCCAAGTCTTGTGCTCCTCATTTCAGCGCCCCCCCTCCCTTGCCTCTCCTTATTACGATACCTGTCAGGCACAACCCCAAATCCACATCACGGTATAATCAAGGGCCGTGCGCGCCACAGTTCGCCAGTTCATCACCCACACCAGTTGCCATCGCGTTGATTTCCACCCAGGGTGACCTCCTGTGTGTCAGAGTAGACCTGTGTTCTGTGGCGTTATTAAGGGCTCATTTTCCAAAAGTTGTTTGCCAGGTGGCCTCGACCCTCCAACCTTTGGGATAGCAGACGAGAACTTTAACTAGTGTAACGGTGACACCGGGGCTCCTTACTCCTTTTGAAGAACCCTATCATGATTACCGTTTAGCCTTGGTGGTGCAGGAGCTGTGAATTGGGCTGTGATCTGCATGGTCGGCAGTTCCGCGGGAGAAAGACTGGCCTTTTTACTGCCATCAACAGTTACAGTCTCAGCAACCCACCCGGGGGTGGGGGTGGGAGTGGTCACTATGAGTCAGCATTGGCTCATTGGCAGTGAGTTTGGCTCTGTAATTAGAGACAATCTATGCATTGCTAAAGAAATCCCTTTCCTCACTACATCTTCAAGTCAATTTTGGCAGGGAGTCGAAATAGATACAAATAATTCATATTCAGCTTTACTTCAATGCCAGAGAAGGAGCTGTAGTGGTATTGTGAGTTAGGTGTTGGACTCTAACTGCAAGGTCAGTGGTTCAAAACCACCCGTTGCTTCTTGGGAGCAGCTGTCTGCTCCTGCGAAGACTTATAGTCTTGGAAGTCCCTTATAAAGGTTGCTATGAGTCACAATTGGCTCACTGGCTGTGGGTTTTGTGTGTGTGTGTGTGTGTGTGTGTGTGTGTGTAAAAGCTCAAAGCCCTTTTAATAATTTTTAAAAAGCTGCCCCTGAAGTGACTGTGACTAAGAATTTGTTTCGAGTTGGGTTGGTTCAAGGAGCCATGATGACATATCAGAGTAGGCATTGGGCCGCTACACTCAAAGTCAGCAGTTCAAACCCAGCAATTGTTCCATGGGAGAAATAGGAGGCTGTCCGTCCCATGAAGATGTACAATCGCGGGAACCCAGAGAGGCAGGTCTCCTCGGCCCTATGGGGTCGCGTTGAGCCAGAATCAAACCCATGCCCGTGTTTGGGTGCTGGCTTGTGTGTTTGGGGGACTGTACATGGGGCCCAAGGAAAGACAGCGTCAACTGTTTCGTCCTAAAGAACAGGGATCTGTGGAGTCTCTGAGCCTGGCAGGGTCCTTGGCTTGGGAGCATGATGCTCGCTGAAAGGTTGGCATTCCGGGTGCCTTGGAAGACAGGGCTGACAATCTGCTTCTGACGGATCACACCCTAGAAAACTCTCTGGGACAGTTCTACTCTGCCACACCCAGGGCTGACATAAGGCACAATGCAACAAGGACAGGCAACAAGCAACCGTGAGCCTAGCAGAGTGACCGAGCTGAGACACTAGGCCCCACCAATTGCCGAAGAGTTGACTGGGCCTCATGCCAAGCCCCGGTACGTCAGCCTACATGCCCTACATGCCAGTGGCTGGTTTTCCCAACTGCCTCTGGGTGGACTTGAACCTCCAACCTTTCTCTTGGTGGCTAAATGCGTGGATACCATTAACACCACCCACAGACCCTCACTGACACGTCTCACTGCTATCAAGTCGATTCTGAGTCACCGCGACGCTACAGGACAGAGTACAACTACCCACTGTGGGCTTCTGAGAGTAGAAACCTTGCTCCAGGGTCAGCGTTTCAAATCCACCAGCCACCCATGGAAGAAAGATGAAGCTTTCTAACTCTCATGAACAGTTACAGTCTCGGAAACCCACAGGGGGCAGTTCTCCTCTGTCCTCTAGGGTCACCTAGAGGTCACCTAGTCAGAATCGACTCAGGGCAGTGACAGCTAGAGAGAGGGAGTGCACCCAAAGTGCCGGGTGGGCCATAGAGCCCAAGGTTAGAAATGGGGTCATCCTGAGTACACTGGGCCAACCAAGTCTGCCAGGGAAAGGCTTCCACGATACTTGGCTCCTCTTGCCAAAGGTCAGCATTTAGACACACTGATTGGGTGATCGATCCAGGAGAGGCGGGATGCCAGGGAGGGTGGCCTGCTGTTCTTACCCAGGACACTGCCCAGAGGCAGTACTGGAGGCCAGAACAGGGAAGGGAGGCAGCTTCCTGTCCCAAGCAGAGCGAGCAGCAGGGCCAGGGATCGGCTTTCACTTGGTGCAATGGCTTGGTTTTTTGCAGCGGAAGAGAAGTGGGAGGGATTCAGCTCAGAAAGGATTCTGGTTTGGGGGCTTGGGAGTGGGGCTTGTCAGCCTTTCCGGAGTGATCTAAACACCCTGGCAACTGACCTCTGGTGTCTGATGGACAGGTGAGGGTCTGACCTCCCATCACCTGGTCCCAGAGACACCTCCCCCAGCCCCAGCAGCACTTGGGGAGTGACTGCCACCCCCTTCTTGACTTTCTCTCCTTCCTTGGTATCCTGTTCACTCCTTCCTTGGTATCCTGGCCTCCTCCGCTGCTGACTGCCTCATCTCCTCCCTCCTCCCAGCACTCAGAACTTCTTAACTCCACACCTTAGGCCCCAAATGACCTGCAGCCCCAAATTACCACAGCAACAAGGTGTTAATCGCTGCCACCTTTTAATGAGGGCCCTGTGCCAGCGCTAAACACTTCACACCCACTCCCTTATTTCATCCTCCCTCCATGCAGTAGGCGCTATCATTAGTCCCAACATAAGCATGAGAGACCAAGGGTGAGTCAAAAAGTATTGCTACAAAAAA